GTTACTCTGCGCGCTGGTTATTTTGCCGTAGCCTCTAGAAGCTGTTCACCTGTTCACAAAACTTTTCTTTATATAGCCCTCACGATTATTTACTAAAGTGATATTTCAAATTTAAGGCCAATATATCCAAACGGAAAAAAATGATTTAAGTCAGCTGGGCTTCTGGTTCGGCTATTTTGTCCTTGTGACAGATGCACTGTCCCTGGATTATTGTTTTTCTTTGAATGGTTCGGTATACGAACACCACCGAACAGATTGAACAATTGGTTCGTATACTGAACTATATACCGAATGGGTTGACCACCCAGAACAGTCGTGTGCCGCTCATTAACCTGCCTGACCTCCTTTAACAGTTTCGAAAAAAACACAATTACCAACATTCTAAGTGGTCAGCTTGGTGTCCGTCGTTCGTATGGATGAAACATGAGGCAGCGGCCATCTTAACTTCGCGAACGCATCCAGTGGTGTTTGGTCGTATGGAACTAAAATTGGCCACTCGACGGCCCAAACACCGCTGGGACTTCCATTCCCAAGTATGTTCGGTTTAATTTGACCTCAATACCCTCAACACAGAGGCTCCTCTTGTGATTGTAGGGAACTGCTATATCTGCTTCATTACTTCTTAGATTACTGCTTGGGAATACTTCAGCATTACTCACACTAGGAGGAAAGGATATCTTTGGTGGCGGAGACCCCTCTTCTCTCCGAGTGGCTGCCACAGTCCTAAAATGTTAAATTCTCGTAGAATTAGACAAAGTGTGCCCCTGTCTTAATCATTGGCCATTGGATAATGAGACGGAACAAACCTCGCCACGTGTTCTACCTTCTGACTATGGCCCTGGGATGTATTGCCTGCTCTCCTGTACTGCTGAGGATTGCTACCAACTAGGGGGATTTGGCTATGGAGCTTGTGTAGTGCCCTCTGTTGGTAGCGACAGTAATATGCACTACCCTGAATAGCAAGACTGGTAATTTGCATATTCGGGTAGATTTGCATATCGCTAATTCTGCATGCAGGAGAGACATTTTGTGTTAATTATGGTCTTTCCCACCCATTTATAAATATGTAATTATGTTATAATAAGTCGCTGTATGTTGCCTGCTATGATTTGACTGTTTGTAATTTTATTGAGTTTTCACAGCAATGTTAATGTAATGACCATATGGGCTAGTCCCAAGTAAAATAGAATTTTAGACAGTTCTTCTTGATCCTCAACATGTAGTCTTGTCTCGTGATTGGAGGGGACAGCTATACTCACACTAGGGATTGCTATGCTCTGCATTCTTCTCTGAGCTTGAATCACTTAGTTCTGATACACTCTCCTGAAGGAGAGGTCTTCCCCACACAGTCCTGGTGGACAGAAGACGGTGGGACTCTAGTTAAGCTATGGCAGTTGTGGAGTCTGTGGTGGTTGTGGTCTTCGGCGCAGGCTAGGAAGCGTCCATCAATGGAAGGTACTCTGTCGGAGTATGGGGAGTTCGGTTACAGATAATAAATCCATACTTCCCAAGTGTCCTAATTTAGGAGGGACAGTCCCTATGTTGGGTGTGTAATGGGTATAGAGGGGGCTAGTCCTTGGCTTGGGACCGAGACCAGTCCCCTACGTTGTCATACCTCCCTGCAGTAGTTTTAGAGTGGAGTATGCTTTACCTTTACACAAACATTCACCGAGACGGAATGTAGAGGGCCAGAGAACTGGTTTTAATGGAAACGCACAGTGTATTTATACATAACATTGTTTGAACAGCATAAATTTAATAACCATTCCCACAAAGTGCTGGGTTGTTGCCCATTGTTCTGAGATCACGCTGTTAGATTGTAGATCGCATGGTTTGATAGCCTTCGCGGCCCACAGTTCAATGTCATAACTTTAAATGGCCTCCCAGGCATTTCTGAAAATAACTCGACTTCCCGCTGGAACTCACTCAAGTCCAAAGCTCTTTTTTGCCATTTTTCTGAGTGTCTGAAGCATATATGACATAATGGGAGATGTCGACACGCATTTAAGATTTTACTGGTGTGACAGATCCATCTGTATAGACTAAGATTGCTGGTGATAAGAACACCACCAAACAGATTGAACAATTATAACAGCTCCCTCCAATAACGAGACAAAGATACATTTAGAGGAATCAAGAAGAACTGTCTAAACCTTTATTTTACTTGGGACTAGCCCATATGGTCATTACATTAACAATGTGGTGAAAACTCAATAAAATTACAAACAGCCAAATCATAGCAGGCAACATACAGTGACTTATTATAACACAATGACATGTTTTTAAAGGGGTGGGGGAGACAATATTTAACAGAAAATATCTCACCTGCCTGCAGAATTAGCAATATGCAATGAACCAGTCTTGCTATTCGGGTAGTGCATATTGCTGTTGATACCAACAGAGGGCACAAGACAAGCTCCATAGCCAAATCCACCTAGTTGGTAGCAAACCTCAGCAGTACAGGAGAGCAGGCAATACATTTCACAGTACACACACACACTATAAACAATTACATTACACACACCCTGCACCTATAATGGGTACAGGGTGACTAAAACATAAGAGAAATAAAGCAACCTACATAAATAGTCTGTCTGACGGTAGAATAGGGGTTTTAAAGCCAAATAAATCAAAGAATCATAGTCAGAGGGGAGGAGGCTGGCAAGCAGGCCTCTCCAGGACCAGGTGGCGAAGAGCACTCCGTCACATATCTCCCCTTCGCGGGGAAGACTAACCAGGCACCTGACTTTCTGTCGGTCAGTGCCTAAGTTAGTCGATTCACCCACCGACCATAATCAAGTGCCAGAGTAGCCCATCCACAACAAACAGTTATTAGAGCAGCCCACCCACAGCAAACAGTGACTGCACCTGGCTATTCCTCTGGGTTGATGGGGCAACACGCTGTGGGGACTTGAGGGGCAGAGGCCAGCGGCGCTCTGCCCTGATGTCAGCTCTTCCGCTGGTATAGCCTGCAGGACATCATGCTCTGGACAAGGGACAAAGGGAGGGCAGAGGCCAACTGCACTCTGCCCAGCTGCCAGCTCTTCTGCTGGGGTGCTTGAGACACAGTCCAGCTCAGTAGCCAGGGGAACGTGGGGGTTAACATCTCCTCTGTTAACCCTGGGGCCAAGTTAGGAGTTAGCTGGGGAGGGGAGAATTGGCTTACATCCTCCTCCTGCGATGGTAGCTGGGGATCTGGACAGGATGTCCAGCATCCCTCTGGGTCAGGCACCACGGTCCCATCTGCGCCGTCTGGAAAATTGGTGTCTCCCCTTGGTAGGGTAAGCTGCCGCTGGGGAGAGAGGGGGCTGTGCTCCTCTCCCTGAAACACATGCTGCCACTGGAGAGGGAGACCGACTGTCTCCACTCCCGTAACATTGTCCTGCTGCTGGGGCGAGAGACCAACTTTCTCTGCTCCCTGTAGGACACCTTGCTGCTGGGGGGGAAGGACGACACCTTCGCTCCCCTGTAACTCACACTGCCGCTGGGGAGGAAGGACGACACCTTCGACTCCATGTATCTCGCACTGCCGCTGGGAAAGAAGGACGACACCTTCAGCTCCCTGTAACTCGCACTGCCGATGGGGAGGAAGAACGACACCTTCGGCTCCTGGGGACCCACACTGCCGCTGGGGAGAGAGACCGGTTGTCTCCTCTCCCTGGGACTCACCCTGCCGTTGGGAAGGAGGCTTGGGTATCCACAGTCCCGATCTGTACAACTCAAGCTCAAGGCACCGTGCCGCTCGGTTCTCCACATATATCTCTTGCATAAATAGGTCGACCATCACACCTGGCGGGTTTGAGCCATACCTGGCTAGCCGCCTCTTTACCTCCACAATGGAGTCATAGTCCTCATGGCGACGTATCATGCTTGCTTGGTGTTCCCAGGATGCTGCTCCTCGCAATAGGGAAGCCATCCCACCGCTACCACCACTGGAACGGAGCTCCCTGTACTCCGACCAAGTACCCTCCGTTGATGGACGCTTCCTAGCTTGCACCGAGGACCACAAGCACCGCACCAGACACCACAACCACTGCAGACTCCGCAACCGCTGTAGCTTGACTGGAGTCTCACCGTCTTCCTTCCACCCGGGATCAGCTTCTGTCCTCCAGGACCGCGTGGAAAAGACCTCTTCCTTCTACAATGTATGAACCTCCAGCATCCAGGACTGTGCAGGGAAGACCCCTCCTCCAAGGAGAGCGGGTCAGGAAAAAGCTCTTAAAAGAGCTAAGTGATTCAAGCTCAGGGGAGTATGCAGAGCATAGTAATCCCCAGTGTGATTATAACAGCTTCCTCCAATAACGAGTCTCCACTAACGAGTCACAGACTGTTTTGCCTCCTTTCGTGGAATTACCTGTCCGTATGCCCCTGTTCGTTTATTTGACTTTTCTACAGAATGAACGAACCGAACGGACGGCCACCCAGAAGAGAAGTGTGCTGCTGGTTAACCTCTTGATCCCAATTAGAACGTTGTGGTTAACCGCAGACACCTCTCAATTATAACCGAATACAGGGTGGTCGTCGTTCGTATGTTGACCACGAGGCGGCGGCCATTTTAAATCAGGCGAAAGACCAGCGGTGTTCGGCACGGATTCTATGGAACTGAAAACGGACACTTTTTCTGCCGAACACCGCTAATACCACCGACCTCCCTTCTCCATCGACTGAGGCATACAAACACCGGCCGTTTGGGAGTTTGAACTGCACGAATGGACTTCACCCAGATAGCCTTCCCATGGAGTCAATCACATACCGAAAGACTGTACAAGTCTTTGACTCCATGGCGATTGAACTATGCGTATGGGATCTGAGCGCTATTCGCCAATAATATGCACTCAGATCCAGGCTATCAGATCCAGGCTATCCATTCGTGCCTTTACATCTCCCGAACGGCCGGTGTTTGCACACTTTTGTCGATTGGAGAAGGGAGGTCGACGGCATCAGCGGTGTTCGGTTGAAAAAGTGTCCGTTTTCAGTTCCATGAATTTAGTACCGAACACCGCTGGTCTTTCGCATGGTTTAAAATGGCTGCCGCCTCGTGGTCGACATATGAACGACGACCACCCTGTATTCGGTTTTAATTGAGAAGTGTCTGTGGTTAACCGCAACGTTCTAATTGGGATCAATAGGTTAACCAGCAGCACACTTCTCTTCTGGGTGGCCGTCCGTTCGACAGTTTTGTTCGGTAAAAAAGTAAATTCACCTAAATCCAGGCATACAAATGGGTGAGTTCGTGAAACAAGCAAATAGACGAACACAGCAATCTTAGTTCATACGGATGGGTCTGTCACACGGCTCCCCCTTGTGAAACACTCCGGCAGACCCGGCTTGACCCTTTGGCGGGTCAACTTGGGGATGACCGGACTAGGAAGAAGTAGGGACGTCTGTTTGCCGGGACAACCCATTCGCATTCCCATTCTGCTTACTGGGTCGGTAAGTTGTAAGGCTGCAGTGCCAAACTCCACCTCAGCAGTCTGCTATTGTCTCCTGAGACCCGGTTAAGCCAGACAAGGGGATTGTGGTCCGTTATAAGGGAAAATTCCTGTCCGTATAAATAAGGGCTCAGCTTCTTCAGTGCCTAGACCAGGGCTAAACACTCTTTCTCCACTGCCGCATAACTCACTTCCCGGGGTAGTAACTTTCTGCTGAGATATGCGACAGGGTGCTCTCCTCCATCTTCCCCGACCTGGCTCAGCACAGCCCCCAGTCCATACATGAAAGCATCTGTATGAACGAGAAAACGTTTGTTAGGGACTGGGGCAGCCAGGACAGGGGCATTTACAAGAGCTTGCTTCAGGGCCTGAAACGCAGCTTCACAAGCTGGAGACCACAGGACCTGCTTAGGTAAATTTTTCTTAGTCAGGTGAGTCAAGGGCTTGGCGACCGTACTGTAGTCGGGGACAAAACGTTGGTAATACCCTGCCGTCCCCAGGAAGGCCAGTACTTGGGTCTTGGTGATAGGTGTGGGCCAGTTAGCTACAGCTTCTACTTTGGCTGGCTCTGGTCTCTGGCTCCCACATCCTACCCTGTGACCCAAGTACTGCACTTCTGCCATGCCTAGATGGCACTTGTCTGGTTTCAAGGTCAGGTCCGCGGCCCGAATCTTGTCCAGAACCACCCCCACGTGTACTAAGTGTTCTTCCCAGGACTCACTGTAGACAGCAATGTCATCCAGGTATGCACATGCAAATTCCTGGAAGCCATCGAGGAGCCTATCCACCATGCGCTGGAAGGTAGCCAGAGCATTCTTCATCCCAAATTGCATGACCTTAAACTGGTACAGGCCAAATGGGGTGATGAATGCTGACTTAGGGATAGCATCCTCAGCCAGGGGAATTTGCCAATAACCTTTACACAGGTCGATGGTAGTCAGGTAGCGCGCCCTGGCAATGCGGTCTAATAATTCGTCTACCCGGGGCATCGGGTAGGCGTCAGTGGTGGTCCACTCGTTGAGTTGCCTGTAGTCCACACAGAACCGGGTGGTCCCATCCTTCTTAGGCACCAGGACTACAGGGGAGGCCCAAGGGCTGTCTGAGTGCTCGATGACACCAAGCCTGGTCATCTCCTGTATCTACATCCGCATTCCTTCTCGGACTGCTTCAGGGATACGGTATGGGGGTTGTCGTAGGGGATTCTGTCCGGGTGTCTAGAGCTTGTGCACAGCTAGGGTAGTGTATCCGGGTTCTTGGGAGAACGTCGCCTGCTTCTCCCACAGAAGCTGTCTTGCCTGTACCTTCTCTGCGGGCTTTAACCGGTCCCCTAGCTGCACAAAACTAGTAAGGTTAGTCTGGGGACCCTTTTCTAACAAGTCGGGTAAGGGTAAATTCTCAGGATCGTCGGCAGCCAGGGCACATACTGCCGCAACATCCTCTGGTCTCTCCTGATACTCCTTCAGCATGTTCACATGAAAGGATCGCTGAATCCTTTCATCTGCACAGCTGGCTATAAGATAGATAGTATCACATACCTGGGCTAACACTTTATACGGGCCCTGCCAAGATGCTTGCATCTTGTTCGTCTTCACATGCTTGAGCACTAGAACCTTCTGCCCAACCTGGAAGACCCGCTGTCGGGCACCCCAATCGTACCACCTCTTCTGTCTCCCCTGGGCCGCCTGGAGATTCTCCCTTACCATAAGGGATAGTTTCTCCATGCGGTCCCGGAGTTCCAGGACATATGGTACTATGGGGGTCCCCTCTTGCTCTGTCTCCCCCTCCCAGTGCCCTCTAATGAGATCCAGGGGTCCGCGGACCCTTCTCCCATAGAGTAACTCAAAGGGGGAGAACCCAGTAGATTCCTGGGACACCTCTCTGTATGCAAATAGCGGATGAGGCAGGAATCGCTCCCAGTCTCTGCAAGTGTCAGGAAAGGTCCTCAATATCTGTTTGAGGGTACCATTAAATCGCTCGCAGAGACCGTTAGTCTGTGGATGATAAGGTGAGCTAAGCAGCGGTTTAATGCCGCACACCTTCCACAGCTGCTGGGTAAGCACAGCGGTGAACTGAGTTCCTTGGTCGGAGAGGATCCCCTGAGGGAACCCGACCCTAGTGAAAATTTTAACCAGGGCATCAGCAACCGTCTCTGCCTCTATATTAGACAGCGCTACTGCCTCTGGATAACGTGTGGCATAGTCCACCACGGTGAGAATATATTTTTTACCGGATGGACTAGCCCTGGCCAGTGGACCCACAATGTCAACGGCTACGCGGGAAAAGGGTTCTCCAATGATAGGCATCGACTGAAGCCTAGCCTTTGGGTGATCCCCCTGTTTACCTACCCGTTGACATGTGTCACACGTGCTACAATAAACCCGCACATCTCGGTTAAAATTGGGCCAGAAAAAGTTTTGGGTGATTCTATGAGCTGTGCGGCGGGAGCCTAGATAGCCTGCTAATGGCACATCATGCCCAATCCGCAGAATCTCTTGCTGGTATTTTGAAGGCACCACTAGCTGTCGATTCTGCAGAGGGGTACTCGGTTTCTGGGACGGTTTAGGGATCCTGTATAGCCTATCCCCCACCCACTCGTAATGCTCCCCAGAATCGGCCCAGGCTCGGTACTTTGCTAATGTCGGGTCTTCCCTAGTTTCCTTCCCGTACATCTCGGGGGTATCCCAGCCTAAAGGGGCCTGGTTTAAGGTACAAGTCGGGGTAGAGAGTCTTACCTGGGTCTCAGCAGCAGGTGGGCTGGTCTCGGCGGCACGGGTCTGGGCACGGGTCGTGACAGCTTCCACTTCAGCGGGACCCATGGGAGCGAAGGCTGAAACAAGCGGCGCCAAGTCATTGCCAAGGAGGACATCCGCTGGTAAATCCTTCATGACCCCCACATTTACATGTCTAGCACCCACTCCCCAATCCAAATGTACCTGGGCAAGGGGTAGACGAAACACGGCACCCCCGGCTACTCGCACTGCGACAGTGTCTCCGGTATGTTGGGCCTCGGACACCAGGTGCTTCTGAAGCAATGTCATGGTTGCACCGGTATCCCGTAGACCACTGACCTCCTTCCCGTTGACCTTGACACATTGCCGGTGGTGCTGGCTGTTATCCCGGTGGGCAGCTTGGACAGGGTCTGCCTCATGCAGGATGCCCCAGCATTCCTCTTCCTCTACACAGTGAGCAGCCGGGAGAGGTGGTCGTGGATTGCCGCCAGCTGGTCTACTCCAAGACTGGGTCTGGTTGGCACTGTTCACTGGGCACTCCGGTCGCTTGTGCCCTAGCTGCTTGCATAAGAAGCACCTAATGGGTTGCGAATAATCCCGTGAGTTGAACCGGGGTGGCTGTTGATACTGAGCAGACGGAGGGGGTGCTGACGGCCAATTCATCGGGGGCTGATAGACGTTAGCTGCTGGTGGTGCTGCTGGCCGGTACGCCACTCTGGCAGGAGTCTTACCAATAGAACTGTCCAGTTTGCGGGCATCCGTATACTCGTCCACCAGGCGAGCTGCTTCATGCAGAGTGGAGGGTTTACGGTCCCTTACCAACTCTCTGACCCCTGGGGATAATTTGTCAAAACAATGCTCCAACAGGAACATCTGCAGCACCTCTTCCCTGGACACAGCCTTGCACCCCGCCATCCAGTGGGCAGCTGTGCGGTGTACTTTGCATGCCCATTCAACATAAGAGTCCCCAGCTGATTTTACTCCTGTATGCATCTGGTGTGACGGCATACCTGGAGAGTAAAGCTTCCCTGACGGGCCCATAATCCCCGATCTCCTCATCAGGAATGCCGAAAAGCATCACTGGCCCGGCCGAATAACTTGCCGGATAATATAGTGACCCAGTCTTCCAGGGGTACCTTGTGCAGGGCACATTGCCGCTCAAAATCAGCAAGGTACCCATCAATCTCTCCTTCTGTCTCCACAAAAGGTTTAAATGCAATAAACGGCACTTTCTTTCTTTCCCCCGAGTTTGCTGTGACTGGGGCTGCTGCAACACCGCTTTGGCGTAGCAGGTTGGCCTCCACAGCGGCCATGACCCGGTCAATGGTCTCTATAGTCGGGTTGGGGCCATAATGGGCCAGCCTGATTCTTAGCGCCCGGTCAAAGCTTGCCTCCTCGGGGGTTCTGTCAGCTGTGCTGGGTCCATTGGTTCCCTCTGCCTCTGGTACTCCATCCATTTCCAACAATAGCGCAATAATTTCCCGCTTGTCCGCCTCTTTGTTCTAATAAATCTTTTAGGGTAGCTCTTTTCAGTCTTTGATATTGTACATCCATTTAATCCTGGTTGTAGTGGTGTCTCTGGGCGCTGAGGGTCATCACGTCGCTTGCCACCAGTTGTTATGGTACCTTCAGTAATAAATGTACAAACCGCCGTTTAGTGAATGCTCCCCGTTCGCAATAATGCTGGCTGTAAGCGTATCCAATACAACCATGCGAACCGCCAGCAAAGGAACACTCCAAACTCCCGAACGGTATCCGTACGGTCACTCCCCTCCAAGAGCCACAAGCTCACGAACCGCCAATATCAGCCGAACGCCGGTATCTCCCAAGCGGCTGATAATTCCAAATAGCAGTCTCTAGTCGCCGGTAATAAAATCCCCCCAATAACGAGACCAAGGGTAAAACACGAACTGAGTTTACTGTGGGCTACCCGCCCGTATTTATGTAGGTTGTGGCAATCCTAGCCACTTGGACATTAATTAAGTACTGTCGCTTTAAGGGTTGCCTGTATGATTTTCGTGATATGTGTGTTCCAGAGTATAATGTATGTGAA